CGTCACTAGTTTTTTTTAGTATCTGTAGCGCTCACTGTACGTCACTAGTTTTTTTTAGTATCTGTAGCGCTCACTGTACGTCACTAGTTTTTTTTTTTTTTTTTTGCACAGGTTTAAGATCACAGAAGTTTTTAATTGAAAAGGAAAACTAACTTACGAGAAGTTAGAAATCAGAAGGGAAGAGCTGCCTTTTCATCCCCTCACTCAACAACTGTGCTTTTATGTACAATTAGGGATAATGCTCAGTGTCTCAGTTTTACTGAGAGTAACACAGGAAAATAAAATATATATTGTTTCTAAGCAACGAGTTCAGGGGTGCAACTGTGTCATTTCTGCTGCATACAGGACTGGTCACTAAAGAGCTAATCCCAGTGGAGACCCTGAGACAAGGATTTGTAAGCCCTGGTTGCGCAGTGATTAAGCATTCGGCTGCTAACCAAAAGGTCGGCAGATCAGATCCACCAGAGTTTGGATAGTCTATTAGAGGTGATTTCAGGAAACACTGGTAGGAGAGTGGGGAGTGGGACAGGGAAGGGAGGGCAACCAATACAGGTGCATTAACATCTAAGGTACCACCGTGGGTAACTGGGCTTCAATCCCTTTCGGGGAACTTGGGGAGCCTGTGTAGAGATGCCTCAGAGTTGTCTCCACTGAAGGAGGTGGGAATCAAGGTATCTGTCCACCAGTCATTGTCGAGAGCTGCCCCAGGGGGCCTCAGTTCACCTGCTTCCAACAGCCCCTTGTGTGGGCAGAGTGAGCTCTGATGGCCAAAGAGAGACCTCAAAGTTGGCAGTTGGAAATCAGCCAGCCTGCATGGAAATAGTAAGTACCCAGGGGATATGGGAAGGGCTTGATAATGTCTGCCACAATTGGCAACCTTAAGTATTCAGGGAATTTTGCATAAAGTTTAGATGTCCATCTTCTCCGGTCACACTGAGCTCTCCTTCCTGCATGGCCACAATCAGCTGACTAAGTGTTCTCTTTACACAGGACATAAGCTCTCCAGTTCCCCATCTTCCTCACTCATGTCCTGCCTGGCCCAGCTGCAACCCCTTGTAGAGCACCTGCCCTGATCCTGTCTATCCTTTACCTGAGATGCGAGGTAACTCTGCCTGCCCCATCCTCTCAGCTGCTCAGGCCAGGGATGGACACCTGACCCAAAGCCAGTCATTCATTGACTGTTCTCTATGAAACCGAATCTTGTGTTCAAGAATTTGAGTTGAGAGTCACAGAGTAGTTGCTTATGCTAAGAGCTGGATTTGGAGCCATATGTTAGCTCAGGGAGCAGATACGCTGAGGTCATGGGATGACAGGAGAGAGAGAGTGAGAGAGACAAAGAGAGCTGAGAGAAACTTGACCTCAGGCCACTGGCCTCTCAGTTCCCACCAGACCTGGCAGAACCAAAGGGTCAGTGCATCCTGGATCCTGACAACAAGCATTCCCTGTTTTTGAGCAGCTTGGGTGAGTTTCTATTCCTTTCTATTAAATCACCTTTGACCAGAATAGCTTCAGAAGGACCACCATGGGTTCTCACAAGCAGGTAGAACTCTAAGATGTTTATTATCATCTTATTGGATGTTTAATTTAAAGATCTTAGAATGAAGTAAAGCATACATTCAAAAAGTAAAAGCCCTATCAAACCAGAACTGAACTCACAGATGTCACCTTTGGTGAGAACTTCTTGGGTGAATACAGTAGACAGAGTTACCAGCCTTCAGATCACTTGAGGGAAGATGCTTGTCTTAGTTATCTAGTGCTGCTGTAACAGAAATACCACAAGTGGATAGCTTTAACCAACAGAAATTTCCTCTCTCAAGTCTAGTAGGCTACGAGTCCAAATTCAGGGCAGCAGCAACAGGGGAAGTCTTCCTCTCTTTGTTGGTTCTGGAGAACGTTTCTTGTCATCAATCTTCTGTTGTTCTAGGAGTTTCTCTGTGCAGGAACCCTGGGTCCAAAGGACCCGCTTTGTTACTGGTTCTACTTTCTTCGTGGTATAAGGTCCTCCTGTGTCTCTGTCGCTTCTCTCTTTTATATCTCAAAAGAGATTGATTTAAGACACAACCTAATCTTGCAGATTGAGTCCTCCCTCATTAACATAACTGCCGCTAATCCCACCTCATTAACATCACAGAGGTAGGATTTACAACACATAGGAAAATCCTATCAGATGACAAAATGGTGAACAATCACATAATACTGGGAATCATGGTCTAATCAAGCTAACACACACTTTTGGATGACACAATTCAGTCCATAACAATGCTTCTGTTTGGCATGGAGAGGACAGACAGAAGGCCTGTTTCTACCTCTTCTATCACCATTTCATAGGTGGGTGGAGGCTTTGCTGGGTTTCTCTCTCTCTCTTTTTAAAAAAAAATTAAGCTTCCAATTTGAATGAAATGCAATCAGTTCAGCTTTTCTGATCATGGAATAGAGTTGTAGACTGTTGTAAAGATGTTTTTTATCCTGTTATTTTAATCTGATTTTTGTGACCTCAAGGCAGTCTTAACTCCATGTTTAATAAACACATATATTCACTGGAATTATACCAATACTGATGATTTTCATGTTGAAAATATTTTCTGAAGCAAACTCTTAAGCCATCTCTGTTCCTTGATCCATTTTTTATCAGTGCACTTAAACAGTTTAAAACTTTTTCAATTCTATTTTAATTCTGTACCTTTCTTCTTTTTTAATATGAGAACTTAAAGCTATTAAATGTGTTTCTATGTTTTATTCTAACAGCTTTATAGTTTTAGGTTTTATCCATAGATTTATGATCCATCTCAAGTTAATTTTGTCTATAATGTGAGGTAGGGGTTGGGAGTTGGGATTCTTCATTTTTCCATACAGATATCCATTTAATTTTAATTTTATGGGAAATAGTTTTTAGGGGTAAATTCTATTCCTTGTAAACTTTACATTAGAGATGTGATAGTTCAAAGAGATTTCTATCTTCATGAAACTTTACTGATTAAATCTCCTGCCCCGTAAGGTTGTTGTTGTTTCTTCATTATTTCCACAAAGTTCTAAGTTCCTGGGTTAAATTTTGAATATCTAAATTTTGCAAGATAATTTGATTCTTCTGTCAATTTTTAGTCAAGAAAAAATTTGGCTGTGCATAGTTTTAGCTACTGTCAGGTTTTCTTCCACCAATATAATTTTTCTAAGATCAAGGTTTTTTTCACTTTCCAAGATTACAAACAAGATGCAATTCATCAGTCAGTGTTTGGGTCTACAACAAATTATGCTTGGTGCAGCTTTACCTGCTTCATTATGAAATGGATACAATACTAAATATTTCTTAATCACTGAGATAGATGGAAGCCATTTTCCTCTGACACTGTAGGAATACTCTGTTGCCCAGCAATGGACTACTGTAATTCTAAACTCAATACTCTTTATTCTAATATTTCTTTGTTTTGTTTACTAATAGTCAATGCCATTAGTGGAGCAAAGAGTAAGGAACATACACAGAGTAAAAATGGCTGCATAGAAACATGGTGGGTCAAACTGTCATGACAAATGCCTTTATGAAGGAAACAAGAGGTGCATCTCACGTATATAGTAAACCAGTCCATAGGCCATATATTGCCTAGAATTTCATGAACAAATTTGATCCTTTTTCCTTCATCTTTTTCTTCCAGCTTTATCATTTTTAGATTTTGCAACTGTAAAAATAAAAGACCTATACTTTTTGTTCTCTAGTATTCTGTCACTGTTATTTCAGAATACATACTCTATAAAATTGGGTCTTGACATGATCTGTCACCCTGCCCCAAGGCATTGTTATGAACTTTTAAAAAGATATACTTACAACAATGACAAAAAGAAAGGAGTAGCTGCTGAGGCTGCTTATGCACAACCAAACATCTCATAGGATTTGGCTCCTGGGTTTCAAGGTTTAGGGTCATAGTTTTGTGGGACATTCCAGTTAACTGGCCTAATAACATGTTTAGTGCTTCTGTTCTATCTCCTAGTTTGTCACACAGTGACTGGGGTCTTAAAAGCTTGCAAGCAGCTATCCAAGGCACAACAATTGGTCTCTATTCAGCTGGAGCAACAGAGAAAGAAGGAAAATCAGCAATAGAAGGAGGATATGGAATGTGTGGCTAATTGCCTTCATGAACAACTGCCTCCTTTGCCATGAGACCAGAAGAACTGGATGGTGACCAGCTGCCATTACTGAACATTTTGATCAAAGATTCAGTAGCAGAATCCTGATCAAAAGGGGGAAAATGTAGGACAAAATTTCAAATCCTAATGGAATCTAGCCTTTCTGGAGCCGTGGAGGCTGGATGAACTCCTGAAACTACTGCCCTGAGATTATCTTTAAACCTTAAATCAAACATATCCCCTGAAATCTTCTTAAAACCAAGCAATAGTTTAGCTTAACTAGTAAAGAATGTCTGCCTTGAGCACTGTGCTCTTTCAAGATATCTATATGGAATCAAATTGACAACAGCAACTCAAAAGATTAGATAGGAAACTTAGGGGGCAGTGAGTTTATGTTAATGGTGGAGGGACAACTTGGAAAAGGACAGTGAGAATGGTTGCACAAGTCGAAGAATGTAATTGATGTCGCTGAATTGTACATGCAGAAACTGTTGAACTGGTGTATGTTTTGCTGTGTACCTTCTCAATAAAAACAGAAAACTTAAAAAAAAAAGGCCAAGGAGCCATTTTTGTCTGTTTTCCATGAGAACCCTTTGGGAAGTGTGGCAGAGAGGCCTGTTTGTCCCCTAATCTCCATTCTCTCCTTCTTCCTTAGTAACAGATCCTCCACTTTTCAATTAGGCTCATGTCCATTAGACTAAGACTGAATTTTTTCATTCTCCTTAGCAGCTATGTGTGGCCATGTAACTAAATACTTGCCAACGGAAAGTAAGCGTAAGTGGTGTGTGAAACTTCCAGAAAGTGTCCTTGAAAGGGGGATGCGTGCCACCTCCTTCCCTTTCCTTTTTCCTGCTTGCTGGAATGTGGACAGGATGGCTGGAGTTGGGGCTGCCATCTTGGATCATGACATGATGTTGGTAATGGAATGCCATGAGTGGTGGAACAAAAAGATAGAAGTAACCTGGGTCCTTAACATCATGGGGCATCATAGAGCCCCAGGCTGATCACTTCCAGACCTGACACGGGAGAGAGAGAAAACATTTTCATCTTATTTAAGCCAGTTGTTTTTTTGAGATTTCTACACTCTTAGTCACACCTCATCTTAACTAGTTCAGGAGATGTATTACCAGTAAAAAAAAAAAGCACTTGGATTTGTTAAATGACAACTTGCTGACCTGTATATGTTGATGTCTCTCCAAACTGTCCACCTCATCATTAGGTCGTTTACCTTGCTCTTCAATTGGTGATGTGCTGGAAAATGTTACCATAGCGTTTTCATTGGCTAATTAACCAGGGAATAAAAGCCCTGATTTTTAGCATTTGTCTAGTTTTTGCTGTGAATACTCCCATCATGTATGATTTCAAGCTGCTAATATGATGTCAATGGACTTGCAAAACTTGAGAAAATTTAATAATCAGCTCTAGTGAGTAGCAAGAACTGACTTTAGTACATCACTGCCTTTAATTTACCAATTCAAGGTCTCTGAAGAGGCTGCATTTATTCGATTCTACAAATGATGAAAGATCGCAAAAGTGAGAAACTAGATCTCTAAACTGATTGATCCATGAAACCACATGCTTTATTACTAGTAAGATATGAAATATTTCTGGTTATCATTTAACTAAGTTAAATAGTGCCATTAGTCTGTTATTTTGCACTTAGGAGATCCCATTTCTTTAGAGTTTGAAGAGAAGAAGAAAAGATCTTCTTTTAGGCAATCAGACATTGAGAATGTTCTCTGCCTTAGTATAGAAGTATCTCCAATACCTTACACAGTGCCTGCCATGTATGAGCTCAATAAACACTTGTTGAATAAGTAAGTGAATGAGATTTTATGAAGAAGTCAAGTCTGAAAGAAAGGGTTTTTAAAGAACGGCTTACTCAAAAGCGTAAAATGATAGGATAGCTTCAAGAATGGCAAAGAAAGATCAAATACCAATAACCCACACAAACACCATGCTGTTGACACACAATGTGCTGGACAAAACATTTTTTATATCACTTAGAAACATGAAAAAAAAATTGGTGTAAGAGTTTACATGTTCTCTCTGTGA